TGGCCAAAAAACGTCACAGAAAAGGCGAGAAAGCTATGAACATGGGTTTTGTGACCTTCCCTTTCTAGCTGTGCGAAAATAGTAAGATTCGAGTGCGATTTTAATTTTCGTAAAAAACAGAGGCCCAAAGATCCGGAAATATTACGAAAATCAAAATTGCTCTCGATTGTTACAATTCACTCACCTAGAAAGAGAAGGTCACAAAACCCATGTTCATAGCTTTCCCGCCTTTTTTGTGACGTTTTTGGGCTCTTTTGAGCATGCTCAAAAATTGCAAAATTAAAGTAATTCTCTTTGTTTGCTTATAACTCTCGATCTTCTCCGTTTTAGTTCGTGGAAAAGGTGCTATAGTAAAGAGCATAATTTTCTCTATCGAATGAAAACACTTCCAGAACTTTTCGTGATCCAGCTTGAAAAGTGCCGATCTTGACTGATTTCATTCAACTGCTTCTAACTCTCGAATTTTCTCACGACACTTCATGTCAAAGGTACTGCTGTAAAGAGAAAGGTTTTCTCTCTCAAACAGATGTAAAATTGAGAAATACCGCCATGAAGGAAGGAAGTTATGATTTTTTAAAAATCTGGCGAACGAACTTTGTGACTCACCTAATATTAAGAGAGCAATCTCCAGAAACTGAAGAGCGTAAGTCTTTGAAAACTCAACAAGGAGCATGTCACCGTTATTGGGAATGCTTCTGAAAATCCAAAAGGCTTTTTCAAGCAACAAGCTTGCAACAAAAAAAATTGAGTTCATTGCCAACAAAAACGCCTAACTCCTCTGTGCACTGCTCTAACTTTACAACATTACATAAGTAAAAATGGTGTGGAGATTTGCCAAGGTGCATCCCTTTTAATTTGAGAGTGTTCGGAAATTTTTATGCGAAAATAAATCCTAATGTCTTCGTAAAGACTTGAATCGTTATGTCAAGATGAGTCCTCAAAAATTGTGTTAAATCAACAGTATACGTTAGACATAGGGGGTTGAAGTAAGCCACTATGAGGCAAAACGCTTTTGCAAGAAAGTCCCCTAGAATAAATACTTGCAATACGAACGGTCATGCCTCTCTCTGCAGGTAAGATGCGAACTAGAGAGCATTTGTCCACAAATCAAAGAACATAATTCTTATCTTAAGCAATAGCCTTGCATGTTGACCCTTTCATACGCTTCAATGCCGGAAGAACTCATCCTGGAGTCATTGATTAATAAACCATTAGCTAAGAACTGTTGGTAGCTAAGAACTCGCAAAATTCTTCCAAATTCTAGGAAAAATGTCATCATTCGAAAATTTGAATCATTCGCAGAAAAACAATTTTTAGTCTCACAAGGGAATGGTCAGAAGTCGAAGTGGCCAAATCAAAGAAGCTGTATATCATTCGATGCAGTATAAAACACTGACTCCGAATCTGTCTTCCTTATCTGCTTCCCACTTCTGTGGACGAAGCTACAAGCAGTTTTATTGTGAAAAATCATACATGAAAACAGCGAAATTGAGCACATTGTTGCACTTTTAGCTCAGCTTCTGGCTTCAGAAATTTTAAGTAAGCTAGCTGCATGTTTTGGCCCAGCATTGAGGCGAACGTGGCTCTGTACGGCTAAATTTTCACTTTCACGCATAATTTCTTAGCAAAATAATGGTCTTTAATGGCTTGTAGCATCGTCCAGAAAAACGATAAGCAGGTAAAGAAGACAGATTTAGAGTCAGCGCTTCATGCTGCATCTAACGGTACCCAGCTTGTCTGGAATGGCCACTTCGATTTCTGACCACTTCCTTGTCAGTAAAGATCTTTACAGTTCTGGGCAAATTGCTGCGACATTTCTAGAGTGACACAAGCGAACATGTGCAAGTATTTGAATTTTCTCTAAATTTTTTGGTCTCAAACTTCACCATTGGGAAGAAGTAATGGTGAATGAAATAAATCCGGAGTGATTTTTTTTACTTCTGTTAAAAAACTCAAAGGTGATGGAAAAAAACGGTAAAACGATAGAAATGATCCAATCTTTTAATGATAAACTTTTCGTTTTCATTTCTAATTTTGCAAAACGACAGTTTCAAACACATTAGCAATAGTAGTGTTTCTTTGAGCTGATTGTTTTCGATATTCAGTGCTACGCAGGACGCTTTCCTTCTTAGGAGATGATGCCCAGGATACAGCCTATCTTATGAGGTTAAAGGAGGTAGCATTAGTCATTCTAATATTTTTGCCAGTAGAGTACTGTATCAACTCGATGCATTCGCTGCTCTCTTATCACAAAAACTAAGCCGAACAAGTGTTTTTTAGCATACTCAGCAACAACGTTATCGCTCGTGTCTACTAGTCCCAACGCTTTTTCTTGATAAGGCATAACGATGCGCTTCGTCCGTTTCGCCGTGGGGATTCTCAGTAACTTCTGTAAATGTACTATTAGTATTAGGTTAATGCAAAAGTAATGCGCGTTTTTCTAGCCCTTGTTCAAGATAGCTTTCCTCCATCAAAGTTTTTCCTACGAAACTTAGCCAGCATATTGTCAAGAAGCTTTTTTCATGCTCTATTCAATAATGGTTAAAAGAAGCTGCTAGCCTCATTCGTTAAAAAATTATAGAGCTTCATACAACCGCACTCAAAACCAAAATTTCACTGCACTTACTTTTTCGGCCAGAATTCAAGCGCGAGTAAAGGCATTCTTTTGAAACTTAAATACTGTATGTAGTAGAAATTTTCTACGTTATGCACGCTTTACTGTTTCTCTAGAAATTACTTAGACTGAGATTTCGGCGCCTCAACATGAGTGATGGTTTTGGCCATTCTGTGGCCCATAGATTTTCTTTGAAGAGGGTAGTCGCCAAGGTTTTGCTCATTTCTGTAAGTGTAAGGATGGACCTCTTGTTGACAGCTTTTGCAGAATTGTGGAAGCTGTTCAGTACACAGAAAATCAAAAATCTCCATATTTTGGGTTTTTGCGGGCTACGGAAAAATGTCGAGAAAAGCCGAAAATTTTAAATATTATTTCTTTTCTTTTCGCAAATACTCTTTATTTGAGCCCTTTTGTACTTTTTTGTACTACTGGCTTGCGGCTACAAGACAGTCAACTTATCATTTACACCGACAAATTTTGAAGAAAGTTATGATCAGTTAAATACGAGGCTTCCGAAAAAAATTTTTTGCTTATCAATCCATATTTTTCCACCGATTTGCGAAGTTAACCTAAGGCAACGTGCGCTGTATAGAGAATGGTTTGGTGCCTCTGATGAACTTCGCCGCACTCAAAAATATGGATTTTTTAGAAAGTTATAGCACGTTAAATTGAGAACTCGCAAAACGCGCATTACTTTTGCACCAGCCTTATAAACATACCTTCGATACATAGAGCCATGTACTCTGGTAACCTTCACTTTGAGCGTCATGATAGAACACAACCTTCACCTGGGGAGAAGTACAGAAGTCATCCGGGGCGAAGCCCCGGAAATTATGACATAACAAATGACATGACCGTATAGGGATGAAATTCAATGGGGCAAATATAGCAGTGACATTCAAAAGAAGCTCAAAAAAACCGAAGGATTGCGTTTTTATGGCCTTTTTTGTTGGGAAGAAGGTTTTTACTTAAAAATTCAATCAAAAACTAGGGCAAAATTGCTCAATTAACCTCTCTCCGAACTGCGGTTGAATGTTGGAAGTTCATTAAAGCCGCTAGAGTTGAATAAAAACGAAAAACTGCGCTCAAATCTTGCGCAAAAAGTCGCCATATGTGCTGGTCTATCTCGTTATGGAGTGATTTTCAAGACCCGCGACGTTGTCAGTGCTCCTGGCCGTCTCATGAGGATCACAACGATATATAATGTTGCAGGGTTTCATTGAGACCCTGCGAAGATCCACGACCAGAGCCAAATGCCCCGTCGGCTCTGGTCTGTCTCCGCTGCTCGGCTGCGTCTCCGCGCGCTGCGCGCTACCTCGCTACCTCAAATGCGGGGCGCGGGGCATTTGGCTCTGGTACCCTTTTCTTCGTTGTTCGGAGCCCAATATCGATAATCTATATATCATATTAAAGTTCTTGATCTCTATTTTCACGCTGACAACGTCGCGGAACTTCTTTTTAGGATTTAGGCGAGAAATCCTCGAAAAACGGCGTTTTCGAAAACCTCTTGTTTTTTCTTCAGTTTAACTTTTTTCACTCGGTTTTTTTGTGTACTCGATAGGTCTTGTTTCTGTCTATGATGTAGACAACGTCGCCGAGCTTACTTCTTTGCTTATGCCGGTTCTTTTTGTAAAAAATACAAAAAAGTGCGTTTTTCTTTACCTTGTTCTCTTTCTGTGCTTTTGCAGCGAATTTTTTCCAGCTTGGACGATGCTTGCTCAGAATGATGAGCGGAAGAATCCAGACAACGTCGCAGCGTACGAAACGACTATGCGGGGGTGAAAATTTAAAGGACGCATCAAAAATCAGATTGGCGTCCATGTGCAACACAACTTTACAGACATGTTTAACATGTTCAATTCAGTTGTTGACATGTTCTTCATCTTTCGGTCTCCCAACTAACGCCACAGCTAAACAGCGCTTTTTTGACTGGAAAAGAACTTTGTTGTTGTTGCCACCCAATTTAACCAGCAATCCTGGAGACGAAACTCTGCGTAGGAAACCACCAAGTTAAGGTTTCAGATTTGGTGATGTGCTAACCTCTGCTTTATATGAATTTTCTAAGTTTTCTAATTTAATTTGTATCTCTAAATTTTCGTCTATTTTTCTGAAACAACCTTCACTTTTTATAGGGGGCAAGAACTCAAACAACTATCACTTTCTAGCCTCTGTCTCTTGACTATCGAAGGTATGCTTATAAATAACCTTGTATCTCAAAATTTGTCTCCTTGAGTCAAAAGGAGGAAACCGAAATTAAGTCCTAGATGTTAACCATATTTTAGCAGCCATTCGTATTTCTTATGGCTCTTTTCAATGCAATTCTACAAGCGATGACGCAATTTCCTGCTCCCAAAAAGCCTTATTTGTTATTGATGCCACCAGTTATATGGGTTCTCTTGATAACATCCGTTCCGTATGTTTGACAATTTTAAAAATTATCTTCGATAAGTTGTCTGCTTGTAGGAATTTGACCTCATAGAGACATGGATAGTGCCTCAACTAGACATGAGATGGGGATATGTGGAGTTCAGCTTTACAGGATACGGCGCCGGTGAGTTTAGGGTAACAAGTTTACAGATAAACTCGGAGCAGCTTTAAATTACGATTTTGACAAGTTGTTCTACATATTGATATATTAGGTTGTCCCGAAAGTTTTGTCCGTTTACTCAACCTATAAACGCATGGAAGGAAGATAGGGAAACGCTCTAAGCACTATCCGACGCATCTTTTTCTTCTCTTTCTAACTGTCATGCTTCCATGCCGATTAATCTTTTGTTCACTGAGATAAACGCCGAAATTTCGAACCCATGGTTTTTACTATGTCCAAGTTTGGCAGTTTTTCACAATCTTTATCTTTGACTTTCGGAAAAGCTTTGGCAACATTTGGATAGAGCAAACAAATGGCAATATAATGCAATTTTGCAGCATCTATAGCCAGGCTTGAAAAATTTTTAGAATTATTTTTCTGATGCTATCAAATTCCACTTTTGGTAATGCCAAAAGCCAGAGATCATGAAACGGCGCACAACTAAGGTGTCATTCGATGCAGCTTTTCCTCCTCTTTCCAGTGAGTGTATTTTCTCTCCATTTGCGGGGTCTTTGGCGATAAAATTTTCATAAATCTTGAATTTGACCCCACCCCAACGTGTACACGTAAAATGCAAAATCTTATAGTTCGAAGCGGCAAACGCTCATTTGCTTCGTAAAAATAGTGAATAATCGTAACCGATTTTTGATTGCTTCAAAATGCGACAATTTGTTAGTGTTCGAGGCGTTTCTGTATTCTAGAACTTCGCAAAATTGAAGACTTTTGAAAAAATTATCTTTAAAAATATTGAAAAACCAGCTAGATATGCCAAATAATAGCATTGCATTACCCTTTGCTTACTCTATCTGAGGGCTATCAAAGGTCTTCCAGAAGTTGAAAATGAAGATTGTGAAAAATTGTCAAACTTGGACATAGTAAAAACCATAGGTTCGAAATTTCGGCGTTCATCTCAGTGAAAAGAGTAATCGGCATATGGTCCCGACAGTCAGAAAGGGGAGGAAAAGATGCGTCGCGCAGTGCTTAGAGCGTTTCCCTATCTTTGTTCCACTTATTTTTATGATAGATTGAAAAAACGGACAAAACTTTCGGGACAACCTAATATTATATTTACCCCCTTTTCAGTCCCTAATTGGGAATTATTAGACGCTACTCAGGATAAGGCATGGATTTGTTCTAAGTTGGAAGAATTTTGGAGAGATACATCTTTTCCTACCACTCCCCCGCCACCATTGTCGGAGTAGGTCAACAACTTGTATAAGCTTTTTCAACCAATTCAACCCATTTGCTTTAAGGACTATACGAATGCTTTTCAACGACTTTTGGATGTACAACCAAACATCACTGGTGCTATTTACCGGAGATAGGTGAGTGTTTTGGATTTGCGCTTGTAAAGCACTATTCTGTAGAGCTGCTTTAACTCACCTTTACAGTACAAAATGAATCGCCGATCCTCTTCATTATTATAGGATTACGCTAGGAATTCTGGAGTTTTTTGACTCAATGAGAGCCGTATTTTTCTTTAGAAAGAAAATTAGACAACTTAGAAACACTTGCACAAGGCTAATCAATCATCGCGAATTTGAATGTGAAATCATCTGCACATTACAGTTATGCTTCTTCATCAAGGTCTTAGGTAAATCCAGTTGCTTTTTTAATGTTCTTCAACAATTGTGTACACAACTAAAAAATAAGGAAACTGCAGGAAGTTGTGTAATGGTATTAGCATGAGTGAAAACTTTACTAAACATTTTTCCAGATTGAGGATTTTTTCTTCAAAAATTATTTCTTAATAGCGCGGAAAGCCGTTGTGCTGTGAGTTTTTACCATAATCCTACAGTAACAAAAAGCAATCACTAACTTGCTCCATATTGTAGGTCTAGTTGAAAGTTCTACAGAGCTTTATCTAGAGATCGAAGAAAGACAATAAATTAAAAGAGTATTCGATTGTTAAAAAGGCACGTGGAACACCCTGTACAATGAACTATCTACAAATTGACACTCTGTAGTCAGCTGTTCGCCTTAAAAACTGGAGAGGCTTATATTTCTTTCATTTCATTCAATAAAAGCCTTGAAGTAACCCAAGTTCACCAGTCAGCTGAGTAAACATAACCATCATGTGGATCCGCTCGGAAAATGTAACCCTGCGGAAGACTTACTGAAACCTCAAAAAAAAAAATTCCGAACGTCTGCCCATGTGATTTTTTCAGCGTCAAGTGGGAGATCAATGAAGAGCAACTTATAGAAACAAGTTTATATTAAAGTAAATTTTGCAGTCGAAGAATTTACCTTTCAAAAATCTCACTTAATATAAAGAAAACAAAAACTCAATCGGCAGAAGTTTTCATGCGATTTTTATAAGTAGCACCAAATGTATGGGAGATTTATAGAAAGTCAGTAATATTAATCAAAGGGATACTCAGTGCGGCTACGATGAAGAGCGGCTCAACAGAACAGTGATGCTGGAGGCAAGCAGCGTTAAACTTTCTTTTTCACGCCATTCATTTTGCATTATGTCACGGGTTGAATTGACGATAATATCTGAGTGTCTTAGAAATTTTTTCCGATACTACAAAAATAGTAGTCTTTCTGATCCTTCCCCTTACTAAGTGCAGCTTGGGCTATACAATAGAGCAAAGCAAGGCTACAAGATAGTCACCAAGCATTTGCTCAAATCTATTCCACGGCAAGTTTATTTTCCGTTTCTAGAAGTTTAGAGATGAAGAAAAAAATGTTTGGGATAAAGTGGCAAACTCGCCCCTGAAGGTTTTAGGCCCTTCTTACACATGTATCATATAGTTCATGCATTAAGAAGTACAACCGTGTATTTATATCGTTGAAGGTGCTCTCGCTGTCAAGACGTATTTTTTTTCAATTTTGAAAAAAATGGGACAGCTTAACATTATTATTGAAATTAGCCTCTCTCCTTTTTGTAACGATTACCATTACAATAACTACTCAAGATTATCCGTACTTCTTTTCTAGAAATCAAAGCGACGTAGATGATGCAGCATTACAAGTCCAATACTACATCGATAATAAAATTGCAATAGACTTTTCCATAGTGATTGTGAACTACGGTAATTGCTCATTTTCCGCTTGGCCGGTGAGTCACTTACAACCATCCTTCTAAAAGCATGAGCATTTTCCAGCACACTGTTGTGTACGATGCGCTTACAACAGAACCAGATCAACTGTCACGATATGTGGACGAATCTATTTGTGGTTTCTTTTGACAACATAAATAGAAAAAAATTTTTTTCAAAGGATACTGACATGACACCTGTTGCTATTGTCCTTAAATGGCGATTGATAGAAATTCTACCCAGATGAATCAGCTCATTGCCTGAATGCTTTGAAAACTGAAGAATCCCTATATCTAAAACCTACGGTATTGGGATCAACAAAACTTTTATCACGATCGAAGGCATCCTTCTGATTCTAAATTTTATGATTGAAATCTTATATATTAGGTTGTTACATAAGTCTTGTTAAACTTAACTTCAAACGGCATTAAGTCATACACCTCATAGTCTTTGCAGGACTCCAAGGTACCATTCGATAGAGCAAAGCAAGCTCTACAAGATGGTCTGCAAAAGTTCGCACCAGCTCCGACCCACCGTAAGTTTGCACTCAAAATCTGAGTCGTACTGAAATTCAAAAAATCGCGAAAAATTCATACCTTTCTTCAGAAAAATCCTACAAACCTCCAACTTGCTCACAAAAATTGCCCACTATATCAAACACTTACATGTACCATTGCTGTATTTTTTCCTTATCTAGAAATCGAGAAAAAGATTTTTTTTAGTTTTTACAAAAACGAAGCTATGCTGTTTCTATTCATGTAGCTGTATACTACAAACTTTTAGAAGTATAACCGTAAATTTTCAGCTTCCGAGAAGCCCTAGTTTTCGAGAAATACCAAATTTAGCTTTTGTCACTCGGGTGTTCAATGCCAAATTAAGTAATTTTCGAAAACTAAGGCTTCTAGAGAGCTGAAAATTTACGGTTATATTTCTAAAGGCTTGTAGTATACAGCTACGTAAATAGAAACAGCATACCTTCGTTTTTGTAAAAAATAAAAAATTTTCCTTTTTTCGATTTCCAGATAAGGAAAAAATATAGCAACGGTACATATAAGTTTTTGATATAGTGGGCAATTTTTGTGAGCAAGTTTCGCGATTTTTTGAATTTCAGTACCACTCAGATTTTGGGTGCAAACTTACGGTGGGTCGGAGCTGGTGCGAACTTTTGCAGACCATCTTGTAGAGCTTGCTTTGCTCTATCGAATGGTACCTTGGAGTCCTGCAAAGACTATGAGGTTTATGACTTATCGCCGTTAGAAGTTAAGTGTAACAAGACTTATGTAACAACCTAATATAAAGCTGAATGTCTGCTTGTCTGTCTATCTGTCTGTCTGTCTGTACATAGGTTTTGAATAGAAAATCCATTTCTGAACCGATCCGGACCGAACTTGGCACACATACACTTCGGGCCCCTGCGGGTGTCATAGGCCACTTTTCGTCATCGGTCGATATCGATTTTATCGATTTTTATCGATTTTTTTGCAAAGTTTGGGGGCTGGGAGTTGGCACAGGGGGGTAATCGAGCATGGGGATTCCGAATACAATATTAGTTTTCAGGATTACCGATTACTTTTATTGATTTTATCGATTTTTTTGCAAAGTTTGAGCTACGGAGCTGGGGGTTGTTGAAGGAGGTAGGTGGGCATGCTAATTACTAACACAGCGGGAATAGGGAATTGCATGTAGAAGTGAGCACAATGAAAGGTTCTACAAGGATAGGGATAAAACCTTAATCATAGCATTGACAGGGCCGGGCGGAGCCGGGTAAGCCAGCTAGTGAAGAGTAATCAATACATTACCCAGTTAACGGGATGAGACTATTATCAGTATTTTCAGTACGCGGGATGATTGGCGTAGTGGTATGAGGCGCCGCTATGACCAAGTCGGATGCAGGTCCGATTCCGACCCTGGGTCAACCAAGCCCTCTACCCTGGGAGTAGGTATGGTACCAGAGTAATTGTGGGAGAATTAAAGCAGCACTGACTCGTAATCTGGTAGCCCGCGCAATTCATGCTTAAGGCTCGCACGCAAATCCTTACAGATTACGAAGAAGTGTGGGTTCGGTGCCCGCCGAAGGTACTAAAGACGCCAAATCCTTTATCCTTTTTCTGCAACTTAGCATTCCCTGTGCATTATCAAAAAGCCTGAACATTTGCTACTACTTTTAGTTTTTCAAGAAAAAAAATCTGTGCAACAACAGTTGCGAGTGAATGCTCTCATGATTAGATTTCGTGGTGATATATTGAGGAAACTAACAACTTACAGATCCTACTTACACGACGCAGCTACCGGTATATTCTACCCTGCCACCAGCTGATAGCGCCAACGTTGGATGTGAATGTAACTATGGAACTATATGGCTTGATGTATTCTTGCTGATGGAAGCCACAACTTCTATGCAGTTTGGAATTGACGGAGTAAGTCCGAAATTTCTTCTCAACATTTGCTACTCAAAAATCAGTTCGAACCAACTAAAAGGACACCCTAAGGGCCGAGCAGCAAAATCTTAGGGAGTACTCAGACAATTATGGCGACCACCGCCGCCAGCCACGACGGTGCCCGATGAGCGCCCGAACAATACCCGGTGGCCGGCAAGCGCCCGATAAATGCGCGATTTGCACCGCGGATGGCTCAATATGTATCTGAGTTAGTGAGATTTTGAACAGCAGTCGTTATTTCCAGCCTGGCAGGCCACAATCTGCACAAAAATACAAAGTGACGTCTGAAACTAGTCCAAGTCACCCCTCCACGCTTGGTCCCAGTGTCAAGGATTGGTAGACACCGGCTACTATAAATGACCAGAGTCTAACTTTACTAGCTTCTAAATCAAGCGGCAAACGTTGAAGGAAGCCTTATCATCGCGGCGAAACTCACAAGTTCCGCTTATCTTACAGCGTGTAGGAATTGCGGCCTCCAAGAAGGTCCGCGACTCATCAGATTGGTTCTGTCGTGCCGTGGCCTAAAGGCCTGGGCTTGTCCGAAAACTAAATACAATACCGCCCACATTTGTTGAAAGATAGACGCGCATCTCCATACATGTTTTACATGTCGCTACATGTATGGACATGCGCGTCTATTTTACAAAAAATGTGAGCGGTAACGTATGCAGGGCGTCCTGTAAGGTCCGGGCTCGCCTGAGTGCTTTTTCTTGGACCGCAGATGTTTCCAGCGATGACATGCAGCCGCGAGTTGCCAAACAAACAAATCAAGTGCCGCGGATGCTCAATCCGAAAATTTATGGCCCGTGCACTGCCACATGGCAGCTCGCTGGTGCTCGCAAGAATTGTCTGAGTAGGAAACGAATACCATCGACGAGCAGCTCGCTGACAACTACTCTTTCCGCAAATGCTTTTACGGCCATTAAGGAACAGTAGTATGGCTGAGATTACTCTAAATTCTCACCCAGACCGCAATTAGCAATCAGCGTTCTCGACTATGGCCTGGACATGACAGAAATCGAAACGCCGCGATTACTATTCATCATTGACGGTCCGAGAAAATTTGCCTCGGGGGAGAGGGCAGTTTTTTTAAATGAAGGGGCGTGGCTGACGTAGCTTCCGAAAATATTAGGTAGTCCCAAAAGTAAACTCCATTTTGAATAAATTGAGCTGTTTCTTGTCTTCCTAATAGACTCGAGGCACCATTCGGACCCAAGGATCCACCCAAGTTGTAATCCAGGTAAAATTTGAGGCCAAAAATCGAAAATTTTCAACTACCCTAAAAATCAGATCCCCTTCCAGAAAAGTTCTACGGACTTGCAACTGGATCTTTATATAGTAGACACATAGTAGTACCCAAAAATGTATTTGGGGGATTTTTCCGGCGCTCAAATTTGAGAAGAAAATACTGTCCGAAAATGCCAACATGCCAACTTTTTTGGGTTTTCATGTAGCTTGGCATTTCTCGATTATAAGAGCACATACAGGGGTAATGTTTTAAAATTATACTTAGTGAGGCTTGTAGTCTAAATGACACATGTGGGAGGGGGTGGAGGGGGGGGGGGGAGTTTGCCATTTTTGGACAATTTTTGTTTCTCGCTTTATCGAAAACAATTCGATAGAGCCATATTTGAGTACTGTTATGTGCCTATTGTAAATTGACCAAGTTGTAGGTCTGTAGATTCTTTGTCGCAGAAAACCAAATCTCAGGTGGCAAAATTTTTTTCGATTTCAGCTCCAAACTTTCCATGAAATGCGACTCACTCGGATCTTAGGTGGGTTTTCAAGGCTTGATCTGCTCTATCGAATGATACCCTAAGTTTACTGGGAAAACAAAAATAGTTTGAATTAATTGAAAAGGAGTTTACTTTTGGGACAACCCAATAATTTTGGGATGCCTCCCAGTCCCGATTTTGGAAAAGGCGCGTTGCAGCCACTTTTTGAAAACTTCTCCTACAAAACAATTTTCAATCTGAAAAATTTCTAAATATTCGCATTTACTAGTGAGAAACGATCCCTTACACCACATTTCAAACAATGTAGGTAACTTTCAATGATTTGGAGCACATACCCTTCCTCATTGCTCCCCCCCCCCCCTCCTCCTCGGCCCGCCTTTTGTATGTACATAAAAAGTCTAGGAACTTTTGCAGCACTTTTCCTACAAGCTGCAGCAATTAATTTCATTCGAAAAATAAAAATAATGATATTGATGCAATTTACAGGCAACTGAATACATGGTGTCTGCATTTACGAAACTGACTGTCGGTCAAGCCGAACAGTACCAGACCAGATTTGGAGTGATTCGCTATGCTACGGAAGTTCAACTCATCGCCGACTTGGACACCTACAAATCTACAGCAGATTTACTTAATCTTGAAATAAAAACCTACAACGATCTTGGCACGAATATCGAGGGGTTTGAGAGTCTGATTTTCTCGACTTTTTCTATGTGCTAAAGCTTCACAGAGCTCTCAAAATGGCTACAGACCGCTTTAAGAGCAGTGTTCATCGCATCGCCGCACGACCAGTGGTCATAATTGTTGGAAATTCCTACAGGTACATAAGTGCAAAAACAAATACCATTTTTCTTCATCAAAATCTACAGATCTGGAGATTATAACGATCCATCGCAAGCTGCCGCAAGCTTTCGTGAAGATGGTGGCACAATTATAACTATCGGTAAATGGCCACTGCAATTTGCATATTTTGAGTAATCACAAATTTGATTTAGAGTATGTCCAAGAACATGGTTTAGAAGTGCCATATCTAAGGTCTCTTGCTTCTCCCAATTACAACCTTACGAATGAGAAGAATGACGGAACACAACTAGTTGCAAACGATTTGAGAGATCTTCTTTGCAAGGGTAATTTACTAACTCCTCACTTTCTTTTTTGAATGCACTCTCATAAATTCTATAAAGGAACCTTCGACTATTGAACAGAGATTTGTAGGCGTTTTTACCGAATCATTTTCCTAGGTGTTAGACTGTGATCTACTTACCATCTTTCCAGCAAATTGCTTCTGCGGAAGGAACTGGCTAGAATACAATTTGGACAAGTGGAATGCACCGCAAGGTGGCTGCTACTACCCTGTTTCAATCCCAGCTATACAGGTAAATGTCAATAGTTACTTCATTTCGTTTTCTGTTTTTTCTTAGCTTTATGACTTTTTTCAGATAAAGAAATTTTGATGCTACCACATAAGTGAGAGTGATTCATTTCTTAAAAACCAACTTAGTAAATGTCGCTCAAAAAATTTTGTCAAATTTAACCGCCAAGGTAATCCTACGAGAATACCGCAGTCATTCTGCAATTATCCGGATATCAGTGGCTGATCGAGAAATTTTCATTGGGAGAGGGGTAACTGTATCCTGAATGAAGGGCTGGCGTTAGCCACGCCTCATTCTCGAAAAGGTTCATTTATTTGGCCTGTATCCAAGATGATCTAAAGTAATGAAGCATATCAGCAGCCGCACCTTTTTCATTTTTTAGAGGGCTATCGGGTCGATAAGTTTTGCTACCCTCTGACTTCTTACCCATATTCTCCTTATTTTTAATAGGATTCATATCCGCGAATGTCTTTGATTGAGGAAAATGAACTTTCCCACCCCCATTTTATTCGTTCCCGTTAGAAACTGGTGCTATCACTCGCTTTATCCAAAATTTATATCTCATCGCAACTAGAAGGCAAAGCAGTGTAATTTAAACCCCACCTGAGCTCTTGTTTGCGATAGAATCATGCGAAAAGTTTATATAGACTGGGACAAAAATGGGATCTACCTTTATTTTGAATGGAGTTAAAACTTCACTCCCAGCAGGAAGGTGAGCTGGAGCTAATCCCATTTTTTTAAGGTTTTAGTCGGATTTTTGCGTTTTTTTGAGTGTTTGTTTCTTAGCCCAGTTTGGGGGCAATCAATGAACGAGAAAAGTTAGACGTCTTTTGAGAAGCCCAAAAAATGTTTTTAGGCAGTAACCCTTAACACATCATAGAAAAAAGACTCATCTGAAGTCATAAAAATCCTTGCAAATGATTAAAAGAAAGAAACTTCTTCTTATAAAAATTTATAAGATATGCGAACTCTAATTACCTGAGTCGTAACTTTCCCTTAACCCAGCTCTTTAATTCTACCGGACCAAATCTACTAGATTACTGGATCACTCAAACCTTCAGCTATACCGATGCTGTATTCTTCCTTCGGGTGGAAATAGAGGGGACAAAAATGTCTACGCTCTCAACAAAGAGATGTTGAGTTGTTCCCATGTAATGAACTGTATACTATAAGTCTTTGGATGTACCACCGCAAATTTCAAGCTTTCTACAAGCTATTTCCAAGAGTTGCCTGAAAGAACGGAATTTGGAGGCCTTTATGCTACGACCTAAAATATTCCAAATCCTATCCGTAAAATGAACGTTTTAACTAGCATCTAGATGATGTCGTAGCCCTCTTCGCTGATATTTAGTGGAACCTGGAATTATCAGATCTTTAGTAACCCCCTTGCAACTATATTCTTAAACCTTTTCTGTAAAGTTTATTTGCTGGATGGTAAATATTTCGCAAGCCAAATTTCTTGATATGTCGGTTACCCTTTATTATTGCATGGGGCACATGAAAAGTCTAATTACTTAGAGAAATATTCAAACTTACCATTCTACTATCAGTGCTATTTCAGTCGTTGGCACAGCGAACATGTACGCACGATCATAATTCTACGCTGGCACTCGTCGAGGATTTCGCAAAAGATTCGTTCTTGATGTCAAGTGGGTCGTTAACTGATGATAAAACGGGAAATGGCTAGCCGTACTTATTTTCAGTATTTCCTTCGAAAACGAAATTCTGGTTGGGATTGACAAATGATGATGATGGCTGGAAATGGCAGGGCGGATACTCTGTAAGTAATCTTGAGTTTTTGTAAGGAGTTTGAAAAAGTGAAAAATGATGTATTTCCAGGCTGGATATACAAATTGGGGTCCAGATCAACCAGGAAGTGGTCGCTGTGCTTACATGCAGCAGTATTCAGGATTTAGGTAAGTTGAGACAAAGAGGAAGAAAAGGCGAGACAACTGGTATATAGCGACGATGTTCTCTTTCTCCTCAGCATCGCAATCGCAATATTCATCAAGTTGTTTGCAGGATCACTCATTATCATTATCATCTTTTGTTCAAACCCTTTTTGCAGAAATTACTTGCCAATTTAGATTGGTTGCTTGACTTAGAAATGTCTAGTCATCTTTTAAGTTTTTTTAAAAGGGTGTAATCGCTTATCGTATCAAACGGTCCGTAGCAACTTGAAGCACATCATATCGTAAGAATGACTCGAGCAATTTCTCATTGCTCAAGTCATTTTTCTTTTTTCGCTAAAAGAAAAAGAGTACTGTCTGAACATTCGGACGCGATAAACATGGCTTCACCATTTCAAAGTCAATTTCTGTTTTCGACAGCAAGTACTGGACGTATTTGGTATTGTGGGCAAAAGGCAGCAAGATTGCCTATATTGAAGGGATGGATTGAGTTATTCGGATGCCATATACTGCAATATGAAAGCCAAATAAACAATCAAATATATCAAATAGTAAATATTGTATTTACTATCACTTTTAGGTTCGCTTGGTTCTCCGACGAGTGCTCCGACGACAAGTGCTACATTTGCCAGTCAAAACCGTGCGATTCTACGAAATACTGTGAAACAAATTTCTAGTGAGGTGCCATATATGGAGTAAAGAAGTTAATTAATGATTTTTTGACACAATGCATTAATATAAATTGGAGATAATAATTGATGGAAAATCTGAATGACGCCATATCGCAAACGCAGCAGTGGCAGGCGGCGGAGGACTACGTCTACCAACTATGCATTCTATTCCATTTCTTGGTGACGGGAATGTTAATGCCGCGCTCGGGTCTTGCGCGGCGTGCGCGATGTCATTTGGAAGATTTACCAGGCTTCAATCAATGCGCCGCTTAACACCCGTTTTCTCCTTCATTTGTTCCTTTTCTCAAAACGTTTTTTCGCTTTTTTGTTTCCTTTCTTATCCCACGAATTGGTCTATTTAGGATCGGCTCTAGTACTACTTTGCTTGGGTCACCAGTTATTTTATGCGGACGATGGACCGAAGATGTGGCAGCGCTAAGCTGCAGAACTTGCACCATTGTGTGAAAGAACTGCACATAAACCCAATTAAACGCGTAGTGGGAGAGAAAAAATCATGAGATTCAAACAGTACACGCGATTTTCGAGACCCTTCAATTTCACAAACACTTTCCTTTACATAAAGGCCGTAGCTCTACGAATACTGGGAAAGGAAGCAAATATTTTACAGCTCTGTCGAGGATCTTCATTGAGTTGGCACGAAGCTTCTGTCGAATATTCTTTCAAAATAAAAGTGGCTGTTACCCAAAAAAAACCCTTGTTCTTATTGTTATTGCTATTTGGTCATGTATTTTTTCAAAATATTGTAATTCGCCAGCTTTTTATTGAAAGATCTTCATTATCGCGAAGAGAAGATTACACCAGCTTTCTTGTCTTACGTAACCAAAACTCAGGATCATAGAAATAAAACCTATGACAGTTATTCATATGAATTTCATGGTCTAATTCAATGGAAAGAAGTTTATGCTGATTAAACGTCGGTAGGAAGATGTACGTTTTTCAAAAAAAAAAGACTGGCCAGTGACTGGTTTTTGCTTTGTTTTTTTTTGAATAGCCATGAATTTTTCAGTGACTTCAATAGTACATACTCAGAAAGGGTGCTTTTAAGGCCTATACAGTTGGCTCTTTTACCTTTTATTGCGACAATTCAAATTTGAAACTATGGTGCAAAGAATAAAGCCCAAGTAGTCACCTTTTTTTCGGTTCCATTCCCAGCATTAATTCGTCTAGAAGACCACCACAGGATCATCGCGAAGCAACTCCCATTCCTAACAAAGTAACTGCAAGCAAACTTTTTGAGAAGCAACCTACATTTTCAAAAATGCTGCGATAGAATTTTTGGAAAAGCTTAATACCTGTGCAACTGTTTGCTCAAAAAGCTTTGCGAAAAAGACATTTTTCGAAATCGTACTAGGTACGCCAAAATTATTCGCGGGTTATTTCTGAGTGTCGAACATACATGAAACTTTCCCAGCAAAGCGAGGGGTCAATTGATTTTGTCTCCTTGAGTTTATACGCTCGTAAACTTTGTTCAAAGATGTAAATTAACATGTTCCTTTTCCGTAAAATCCCATTATACTTCCGATTATTTGCGTGCAGCGCGCGGTTAATGTTTTATTAACTTTCTTGTCTTTTAGAGCCGCTTCCCTTTAATAGAGATCACGCATTAAAATATCACTTACCCGAATTGCTTTCACTAAACTTGAAAGTCTAAAAAAGGTAAAACGAATGTTCATTCATTTTATTAGGCATTACTTCTCATAGCCTTTACGTTTTTAAATGAAGATCTTTTTTAGATCTGGAAACTGTTGTTCGTAAGCATGAGTACGGCTTCTGCGACGTAATTCAGATCTTTCTCAGTGTTCAATTGTATCTGCTTCGAATAATTTGACTCTTATGATTTTATGCAATCTGTATAGTGTATCTGAGACACATTAAACCTTCGATCGAGGTATCGTCGCCTCCCTGCCTTAGATCAGAGCCTTTTAGCAACTTGTTCTCCGATAATATTTTTACGTATTTCAAAAGAGAATAAATTTTCTTATCCATGTAATAAGCCTGTGATGCTCCGCCTTTCCATTCCATGAAAGTTGGAAAGCTGTCAATTTAGCAGTAACATACTTTCTATAAAATGGCTTTGCAAGACCTCTGCTAAATAAGAACGTGTTGCTTCAGGCCGTATCAGTTGGTAATTCAATGTTCAAAAAATCCATCTTTTTCAAAAAAAATTTAGCAAAGTTCGATTTTAGAATAGTGACTCGTGCCACGGAGAGACAGTCTTTTCGCACGGGCGATCTCCAGCTCTTCCCTGATCTTGATTTATCTCAACACGTCACGCACGCCGCAGATCCCTCCTTCCCCTGCTTCGTAGGCAAAAGCCGCCGCAGGGCATGTCGCTGTGATCCTGGGTGGAAAGAATTACGGTTGTACGAATCGCCCTACACCCCGTGCCACCTGCTTTTAACGCATGCATTTAGAGCTAGCTAACTTCAACCTGTTTCGCGTCCGAAGGCTCTGCCAACTATTAGGTTGTCAAGAAAATAATGTCGTTTTTGATAGCAAAGCCATAAGACAAACCCAAAAACTATGTAAGGTGTACCATTCGATAGAGCAAAGGAAGCTCTACAAGATGACATCCGAACATTGGCAGAACTTGTTATTTACCCAAAGTTCAGAGCCAAAACATACGAGCAACTCGTGGTGCCAAAAATCGGATTTTTGCCCTAGTAAAGCCTGCGAACCTCTTACTTGCTCCTGCTTGTAAAGGACACATGCACTTATCCATAGGTCACTTGCTATATTTTTTCCATGCTTAGAAACCAAGTAAAAATTGAAAAATGGAAATTGACAGACTCCGCCCCCAGTGATACTGGGCCCGTCCCACATATGCCGTTGTATACTACGAAGCTTTGTAACTTTAACCATAATAGTTCGGCCTTGGTTATACTCTAGTTCTCGAATAATGTCAATTTTACACGAGAAAAACCCGGAAAAAACGACATTATTTTCTTGACAACCTAATATTTCGACTTCGCCGGGATCCTAGACTATACCCGACGCGTTTTTGAGGCACTAGGTGTGCCACATATTTTTTGTTGTAGTGAGCAACTTCGGATAGCACTCTCGAAAAAATTCTATAATCTGTACTCTTACAAAGAAATTGTTTGTACTCTAACTGGTCTTTTCAAATGAATATCATACCATATCATAATGATAAAGTTCTGTACCAATCTTGGACTTCGCTCAGGCAACTAACAAGAAGAATATCATACCATTTTTTATAGGTCAAACATGTACTAGGCTCGTACTGAGCCAAATTGAAAACTGTCTATGGTCCTTTAAGCCGAGTAAGAAGTTTTTTTTTCTTGAACAGAAAGTGAACAAGGGCTTTAGAGCGGCTCAGTCGTTGCGGTCGCAATCAGGAGGGCCAAAATACTAATGTTCTTCAATTTGCGTTAACATGTCAAAAAAAAACTGAGGATTACTTTTCTAATTAGCTAGATGTCTTTGCTCAACATTATCAGAGACGAAGGCTTGCTCTGTTTCAATGCACAATTTCAAAGCAAGAGAAAGGTTCTCAAATGATGAGTTTGTAAAGTTGTGCCTGCGTACTTAGTACACCTCAGCTGAAGAGGGAATTTGAGATTTTTTTCGAAAGATGAACCAGCCGCATTCCGAATCGACTATCGCTCCATGATCATTGTGATTGTTGAGAACAGATGAGTGCCAGCCATCAAGCCCGTTTCGATGGCGATTCAAGCAGTTTTGGCACTCACATGAAGCGGTTAATTTTGGCGCAACCTCGTAGAACGAAAATCCACTTTGAAAAACCCTCAGCTCTTATACAGCTGTCATTTTTTCAGGTTGTGCGCGTCTATCAAGATTATGATGCCATAATTTACACAAAATGACCCATTGTGTCGTTGGACAAAGATAAAAAGGATATACAGCGCGACATTTGTTGGTAAAGGTTTCCATTATGTTAGCTCTTCTTACACTCATTTGATACACTCATTTGGACAGTTTTCAGCTGACAAAACAAACTGAGTGGAGCAAAGTATTGATTAGATCAACATCTGAACATTGCAGAAAATTTAAAGTACCCTATTTTCAGGTGTATAAGCCGCACCCTTTTCGCTCTAAAGGCGAACAGGCCAAAAGACTGACTGTCATCATTGAGCGCGTTAAGTGAGAGCAGTATGCGGTAAGGCGACCGCTTCGCGAGACATATGCGCGGCGGCACGCCTGGGTCTGCTCGCGTTTAGAGCAAAAAGAGTGCGGCTTATACACCTGAAAATAGGGTACATATTTATGGGGCTCTGCGTTCAACCTGTCCTTATAATTGTAGGAAACTCTTACGTGTAAGTTTACAGAAACAGCGACGATTACTTTCTCTAGTGAAATTGATAGATCTGGAGCTTAAAACAATTCTTTGCAAGCTTCAGCTGGTTTCCGTGAAATTGGTGGCACATTATAACGATCGGTAAGTAATTTCTGCATCTTGCATTGTGTATTAAATTTTTATTCAGAGTATGTCCAAGGACATGGCTTAGAAGTGCCTATCTAAGGCCTCTTGCTTCTCCCAATTGCAATCTCACAAATAAGAAGAATGACGGGACACAAATAGTTGTAACTATCTAACAAATCTCCTTCGTGAGGGTAAACTTTCATGTGACATTGTTTAGTCAATATGCAAATTGACATGTTCAAAATTTCTCTGTAAATGAAAAATCAAAGGTGTGCTGAATTTTTTGAATGGGATTCTTTGTGTTATAAAGCTTTTTTCAACTCTGTCGTTCCAGCGAACTGCTTCTGCAGAAAGAATTGGCAAGCTTATAATTCGGACAAATAAAATGCACCACAAGGCGGTTGTTACTATCCTGTTTCAATCCCAGCTATACAAGTGAATATCTCTCAATCACTGTTTTTTGATTAATACACGTTTTACAACCTTTTCAAGGACATCATAAATTTTCAAGACTTTTCAAGAAAGCTTACAACATGCCATTGAAAAAAGTTTTTTGCCAAATTTGGCCTTGGCCTAAGAT